AATACTTCAGCTTTTAAAACCCTGAAGAACTTGATAGCAGAAAATTTATTTTAAATTTTAATCATAACTTTTATGATGGTAAAATTCACATCTATTGCTTTCTTATAAATGTATGTTTAAAAATTCAAGCAATTAAAATAAAGGAATTATTTTGTAAGGAGAACAAATGAAATAAAATTTATAAAAAAGTTTCAGATATCAAAAGATCTTTTGATAGTCATAGCTTTTTTTTCTCCATGTACAGCACGTGCACTTCAGTGAAGTAAACCTGATGGTTGTGGCTAACTTAATCTTGAACCCAGCCTCTGTCTTTCTTCTACCACATTCAAGAGTCAATTATCGAGTAGAACTTATAAAACAAGGACGTGCTCATGGTGAGAATTAGCATTGAAATTATTCATATGTGTTTGTGTGTGTGTGTGTATGTGTTGAAATAGTACATCTACATTTTGTTTGCTTTTTTCATGTTATGTTTCTCTGTGTATTAAAACCCAACTAGTCCAATGTGAATGTTTTGTTTTATTTTAAGTGAACTTAATAAAGTTTGTTTATAATTCCACACCGTGTAGATTTATTGAAATGATAGTTTAATATGTGCATAATTGTATTATTATTATTTTTTGTAATTGTTTCTCTTCAGTAAATTGTTGAATTTTTTTGCATTTTTTTTTTCTTAAATTCAAAAATAGGGTTCAGTGGAATAAATCTTTAAAATGCTACATAACATAATATAACAGAAGTTCCTATAACTTTCAAATTTATTTGGAATAGATGTTACTAGAAGAAAACTTTTATTCTAACTTATTGCAGACTTGTGTATTTTCTAAATTTGTAAGTGATAAATATAAAAATCTTAAATCCTGTTTGAATATTTCAGAGATCTCTATGCCTTCTGACCAGTATTATTTAGAGGTGACGAACACGACAGTAGCTCAATTGAATACAGCAACATCAGATGTGACTGCTTTAGTAGAAGGACAGACCACTATTGTGTTGAAGGATAGAAGTATCCTTGCACTTGTTGATGGATGTTTTTGTTTAATTATGATTGATTAGTGTAAAGCACAGTATATATATATATATAAATACTTGTTTTTTCAGTATTTTAAATAGTATATTTTGTGAGCTTTATTTAATACGTACTTTGTGTTCAAGTTCACAGTGAATAAAGATATATCGTCTCAAGGTGAGACTCTCTCAAACCTTGTTTTACTTCCCCGTTGATTTCAACATTAAAAATGTTCATTGTTTCAGTGTATGTCACCCAACAACATATTTTTCTTAATGTAAAACAGACATTAAAAGCCACGAGATGCCTCGACAGCCCTCAGGGAATATTGATGTTGTTTCACCAAGTTATATGAGTAAGTTTTCTTTTAGTACTTTCTCTTAATACTTGTGTGTGTGTGTCTAGATATATATTTATATATATAAATGCATCACCTGTTACAAAAATATTGTATTCTCAACCAAATAAATAAGAAATAGTTACATGATGTGTTAGCTAACTGTAGGCTGTTAGGGGTTGGAAATGAGGTAATATTATTGAGAACTTTTGTTAATATATCATATTTTTTTACCATTATAGTATAATTTTGAACCTTTGACATCTGTGGTTCATTAGCCATTTATAAGTTGATTACAATTTTGACTGGAGAACCCACTTCAGGGGATAACCTTTACTTATCACCCCCAATGTTCTGTTTTGATGAGCTGCTGGTTTCTGTTTTTCTTATCTTTCTCTTTTCTAAGCAGCTACTCTATCAGTCAAATTGACAAAAAAAATCTAAATTACCAACGTTTTCTTTCTGGAATGACTTCAAGTTGTAACATGAAACTAAATTCGTTTATCCAAAGTAGCTTGAAACTCATAAACAGTATACATCTATTTATATTTAAATTTCATTGTTTTATTGCTCTGTGATTGCCCTTTGAACAACAGCTACTGCTATTCATGCCATTATAAGTCGTAAATCACTTGGGGAATGCTATTGAATTACATTACCAAGAGCTACTCACATGTGTGTGTGCATCTTGAAACATTTTTATTATGTTGTTATTATTATTATATATTTTACCTAATCTAACATTAACTAACCTGAAAGAGACCTGTAATTTGAAATTTTAGTTACTTTTATAATAATAAATAAAGAATTAACATGAAAAACAAAAGTACTTACCCTGGTCTTCTTTTTTTTGCTGTTGACTGTCAATGACATTTAACCCTACTTTTTTTTTATACTAATTGTAGTAATGCACCAAAGAACATGGAATAATAACATACAAAAAGCAGATAATTTCCCCTAACTATCACAATTTTTCTAACTATGTGACAAAAACCATAATAAATTCATCCAAGCTAATTGTTTTCTTTCCTTTGGGAATGAAGCTTGTTCTAACTGAGAAATTGACAATTCTTGGTTTAGAAAACAACATAATATAATATGTCATTTTATAGATTAAAATTTGGCTTTCTATTGGTTATACATGAAGTAGAATTAAACGTAAGAGAGAACTATTAACAAATTCTGAAAGAGAGGATGTGACAGGTTAGTGTTGCAAGAGGGGTCTGATTTTCTTTTTGATAGCTCGGTAACCAAACACACTTGAAGGCTATAAAACTTATGGTTTGTCTGAGCAATAACGATTTTATAGTGAGTAATTTATGTTAAATTTCGTATTTATTGGAGGGGTGGTGAATAAAAAAAGAGAAGACAGGATGCCTAGAGAAAATGTCACATTTCTCACATGAGGGGAAATTCGGGATTTTTTAAAATATTGCCTTATGAAATTAAGAACTTAAAACTTTTGTACTATTAAAATATGGATTATTAGATATGATTTCATGCTATACTAATTGGTATAACGTAAACAAAGAGTAGTTTAATTAAATTTTGAAAATAACTCTAAAAGACTGAAGTACAGTTAGACCCACCCATCACGAGAGGGTTAAGGAAATGTTATACAGCTTGCAATTTTTCCACAAGGAATTTACAATTATGCGTGGCACTATCAGTTTGTGTATAAAGACTTGACGAATAGCTATAAATCTTAAAAACTTATTTTTAATATAGGTTTTTACAATTTTGAGAAACACATATTAAAATTTTACCTGTAACATATCCGCTATGCTACAACAAGAATAATCAAAATGCTTATTCCAGGATTCTTAAACAAAGAGTATTTATTAAAACTTTCAACAAATACAAAATATACTCACAGTTTATAAATTCTGTGTATGGACTTTTATAAACGACACATCCAAACTTCTAACAATATAATCTTGGCACAAAAAAATTTCAGAAAAAAAGTAAGTACGAAAAAAAATAATGAACGTTGGAGATTAATCTTAAAAATCTGTTTAATAATGAAACACAAATTCTGATTAATTATAACTCACAACCAACATCTAATCTGTTTTCTTTCTTGAGCATCTGGCTATCAATTTTCAGTTCATTTTGCTGCCAATTATCAAGATTAAAAATCAATTTGTTTACATAGTCTGACATACTAACTCCCATACAGCTACATGATTATAGCTATCATGACAAAAACCTCTGCTATCCTGTGTCAGTCATTTTGTCTCACTGTTCCAAAAAGTATAACTAACTCTTAACAGGGTGTGAACTGATATTCAGAGAACTAAATGATACTGGAACGGGTACATAATTATTAATTATAATAATTAATAAAAAAATGAAGTAATACCTATTTTAATTAGAACAGTTTCATTTATGTAGAGTGTATTATCTTTTATTGAATACAAGCAAAAGTACCCATCCCCAGTGACAGGAAAATTTAAATTAATCTATCAATTTAATTTATTTTATAAACTTTTAACTCTTTTACTACAGGTTTGGTCCCAGGGACCAACGTTGTAATAATTTCATGCTATGACTTTTAGTACAGTATGCGAAATTTTGTAGATTATCTGTAAACATTACAAGTCTTTTTTACACAAAATATCAGATTTGTTAAGTTTAAGAATTTTTAAGTAATATTTTTTTCATGCATTTTTTCATTTTGTTTGTTGACTGTCTAATATGTAAAGTAATTCTGATTTTAAGATTAAAAATAATTGTATGCATCAGAACTTTATGCAGATTTTATGCATGTGAAATCTTTATAACCTTCAGATAATTATCTAAACTTTTTTTTTTATTATTATTATTATTATAGAAAAAAGCCTATATTTATCTGTTATTTTCACTATTGTATCTTTGTGAAGGTTTGGTCGATTTGACTGACCTCGTAACCACCATAAAATAAATTAAGTAGTTGAAATAAATCATACCCTTTTATTTTGGAATGACTGTAGATTATAACATGAAAACACAACTGTTTATTCTAAATAGCTTAAATCTTTAACATTATACATCTATATATATATATATATATATATATATATATATATATATGTTTATTATTTATATTTTATTGACCTTTCAGCTGTGCCTGACTAACATTACAAAGTTGTAATGATGTGGCACATGTGCATTCATGTTAACATATCAAGAATATAAAACTGGCCTTGGCTGTGTTCTAGTGGACCAGTATTTTGTAAAATACAGTCACATTTGGGCTATATTATATATGTATATACATTATTACTATTTACAAATAAGTTCTTAAATTTCCATTATTTTTCTTAAACCATAGAACAGTAAAGCTTTTGATTGGTTATACACACGTCATTGGGTGGGTCTACCTTGGTTGATTCAATAAATATGTTAATATCTCAGAAAATAGAAAGATAGGAGGTTCATATCCTATATTCTAGCTTGTCAGTATCAGTAATTGAAATATCTAATTCGTGAGAAACTATATACCTTGTATTTGGACATTAAAAGCATTCAATATACCACGTGACACACAGAAATCGATATATTAAGGTATTTTTTTTATTTACTTTTAACTTAGTTAATGAACTAATTTATAAAACTAAAACCTGAATTATAATCTACAGTTTGATACCAAACTTATTGATGTACATTCATAAAATAGTAGTTCAATAAAATTTTGAATGTGAGTCTACAAATACAATGACATAACCTTTGACCTGTGACCATAGGAAGACCCGTGTCAGTAGTGTTAAAAAGGTTAATTGTGTTGCACTCTTGGTTTCACTCAGAGGCAAAGCTCTGAGCTACTTATACTGCCCACCATGAAAGTTATTGTTGAGGATTTCAGTCATGCTAAGAGCTGCTAAACAATAACATATGGTAAATCTACATTTTTATTCTTTAAATTATTTCACATTTTGAAATATGAATGATAGTGTGATTAATTCCTAACAAGTTAATGTTGAATATCCTCCTTGCAAAATAAAATTTGGCATCAACATTATTCATGCTTGTTCTGTCATTTCAAAAGTGAATGTTGAGCTTTGCCTGTGTATGCAGCTTTATAAATTGGAGTCAAATGAACGCTCGGACAGACACCACGGTTCGCAATGTATTTAAGATAGAAAACAGCCATATGTAAATATTGCTAGTTTTATTTTTTGTTTTCTCTAAACTTCTTAGATTTCAAAATAAACATGGTTCACACGTACTAGCATATGTAACAGTCTTCTTGATAATGTTTCATAGTTTTCCATTAACCTTTAATAGCTGGTGTTTTGTGTTTCAGATCTTGTATATATATCTTTTGATAAATTCTGAATTGTTACATCTGTAGGTTTTGAAGTAGCACCAAGTGACAACTGGGCCCTGCTTGAACAGACCACCTATGTCATAATTGTAAAGATATTTGATGTTCGACATCATCGTATTTATTTAGCAGATGTAAGTTTTAGAAATAAATCTTGGGTTTCATTATGTGAAAAAACATTAATGTAAGATCAGGAAAAATAATTTAATTTGAATTGTGCATTTAAAATTTTAAATATTTTTCTACAAATTTCAAAAGCACTAGAGAAATTCTTACAGTTGTAAATAATCAGTAAATGTATTAAAAATATTTTTAACCATTTCAAAATGTATAAAAGGTTACATTAATAATGGGAAAAAGTATTACAGTAATTAAGATAAATGGTGATTCTGAATAATAATTTTGTTCTGTTGAAGTCTTAATGAATAATAAATTACAAATTGGAATCATTAATATTTTATTTGTTCATTCAGGATTGAAAATAAATAATCATTTGGAAATGAAGAAGAGTTCTCTGAACTTCGTGCAAAAATAATCAAAATGAACCTTTTTGTAATATTGGTGTAGTTTAATATTTTGTGTAGTTTAATACCAATCTCATAAAATATACAATTTCTGATTAAAAATACCTTTTGTATTTTGTTTTAGATAATTGCAAACTATTTCAGTGCTTACAGTATATTCTCATGAGCTGATTTGGCTAGATTTTTTGTGTTTTCAGAATATTCGAGTAAAGGTGAACTTTCCAGGAAAACACTTTCATGTGAAAATCTCTTCAGTTAATGGAACTCACCATATTGTTCAGACTCTACTTCCAGGGCCATGTAAGATTAAAGGGGAACTTCTGGGTTTTGTGGATGAGGTAAGGAATTTGATTTACACTTTATTAAACTAATGTGCTAGCCCTTAAATTTAATATTTACTAAAAAGGGTAAAATCATTTCTGAAAGCCACTAAAGCATCACTTACTATTAAAGTTAATACAGGTTTAAAATTTCTACAGTTCTTTATTATTTTCTGATATTAAAGCTTGTCTTATTTTTATGTAAATACCCTTTTTTTTTAGTATATAACACCTGAATTCTAAGCATAAACTGAAAATACTGTAATGAATATGCACAAGATTGTCTCTCATGATTGATTTTGTTTCACTTTAGAAAAATTGGCAATCAAAAAGTTTATATTAAACAATTTGTTGCATTTTTATTATATTTTTTTATGATTAAATCAAGGTGGCATTCTAGCGGTACTTCAACAGCACATAATTTTTAATACTTTCCAACTTACCTAAAAACTAACTGTATCATCTTTATAATGTGTGATATGTGCATTGCAATATTAGATCATTTTTGAATGGGACCCAAAATACTTAATTTGTAATCAGATATCTCATTGGGATATTGTTGGTATAGCTAAATGTAAAGCAAGTTGTTAACATTCTCATTGGGAGATGTTCAATAGCAATCGTTTTTTATTTACACTGCATGGTAAAACAAAAAGAGTAAAGACCATGGTTCGAGACTACCCAATACTGCTTATGCTTATTAGGTATGAAAACAACTTACTCTCACATTTAGGGATTCCTGAGTAAGCAAAGTTTTACTGTACTGGTTAGTTTTTCCTTTAATCCATTTGTCGTCATTGCCCTTTGTAACTACAGCAAGAAAATGCATGAATAATTAAAGTCAAAGGAATGTAGTTATTAAATTGAATAGAAAAATCACTAAATTCAATCTTACACATTAACTTAACTGCAACAGAAAGAAGCATCAAAGCTGCAGAAACTTTTTTATTTTGATAGCCTAATAATTGTTGCATTGCAACAAAGCATGACTATACTAATACACTCCACAAAACAAAAAGATAATTAGATTTGTGTGGATGAAGTTTTTGAGTGTGCAGATCATTCCAATTCTCTCTTCTTTGAGGAGTATGAAATCAGTTTAGCATATAGCATTATCATCAAGGGTCAATTTCTTCAGCATATGGAAGAACAAATGGTAGATGGATCTGGTCCCTATAATGTATATCTTCTGAGACGATAACCAACCTCTTCACATGAATTAACTATCTTTGTTGTGCATTTGCCAATAATATTTGCATGCCATTAACCTTGAGGCAACTCCCACCTAATCTTATGTGGCTCAGACTTTAGTGGCTCGGGCCTACACCATACTTCTGTCTCTTTTCTTTCTGTGTCTTACCTATTGGACCATTTGAACCGAACTTGACTCTTGTGTCCTGTTGGGCTGTTGAGTGTGCCTACCCATGAACCTCTCCCCTTAGGGGTCATCGTCTCTGTCCCTATCCTGGGCCTCTTTCCTTCTTGTATGGGATGGGTCTGTTGATATGTTCATCTCATGATGTGGATGATTGTAGACTATTTCCCTTTTCTTCTCATTCAGTTCATCACATCTCGTTTTCTGACATTTCTTCTTTGATGGCATTTGTATGAGCTCTTCCAAGCAGGCATGTAGACTCCTTACACACATTCATCTCTTTTTCTCCACCTTCTGGCTGTTTTAGCTCATGATGGTTTTTTGGCTTCCATATGTTGCCATTGTTCAATCACCCCACTGTCTATGAGAATAAGATATGTACTATTTCTCTTTCAAGACCCTCTTTCATTACAGAGCATCCCACCAAGTGGTTGGTGTTGGTTCCAAGGGTATACTTACCCAAATTCTGCATTGAGTTAGATAATGGAAAGCAGTCATACCATCTGCCCCTGCTGTACACGCCCACTGTGAGATGGGGTATTCTGCAAGATCACGAGATATACTTGTGGTATATATATGTGTTCACTCTCTTGTTCAATCCATACTGTACCTAGTCCATGAACAATCATTGGAAAAAGCCAGCACCAAGCTTGCATTTGCTGACTTTTCAAAATAATTCTTTGTTGTCACTCATTGTACTACCTCCAGTAAAAGACCTGTCCGGACTGAAGGACCAATAAATATATATTTTTCTCACAAGTCCTTCTTCTGCAGATACTGTCTGTTCAATAGTCAAGTTGACTATGCCCAATACCGGTCCTTACTCCAAAACAAATGTATCCTACTCCCACAGCTGGTGTAAGTCCTGTAGTGTCTGACAATAAAGTTAAGGTGGGTATTCTTTACACACACTTATGATATATATCTCAAATACTCCTCTCCTACTGCCAGAGTTGGTTCCATAAAGAGTTGAGATGAGCACGCTAGATAAGTTCTGAATGTGCCCCAACCACACTACACACATTGGCCATCCAACAGCTTGTGTGCAAGTATTCCAATGGTCATGTCCACATCTTGTCTATCCTTGTGACAAAAATTTGGTTTCTTTGCCTCTTTCCTATCTGTGTGAAGAATATACCCTGTTCAAAAACAAGATGTGAAGTCCCACATGTGTGGTTCTATGGAGCCCCTGCCATGGGGTGTTACACCCCATGGGCTTCCTTTGGGTGCTCTCTGAAGGGAGCTTATCTAGGTACAATTTGCATATCTCTCCTCCATTACAGTGTTGGATTCTAGCGTAACTATGTGTGGAGGTGAAGTATAGTCTTGGAAGTTAACATTTTCCTTACTTGATACTTGGTATTTTTGATAGATACTTTTTACACATTCACACCCTTCCTCCCCACTTCTGGTGCACCTTTTCTTACTTGTCTCATTGAAGAATGAAGTTTCATTAATGCAAGCACGTAGAGGGAGATGTGTTGCCCTTCTATTGGTAGGGGTCTTTTGTCACATGATGAAATCATCATGCAGCAATGCAATTCATGTGAAATTAGGGAGGACTTGCTTCAAGGCTGGTCGCATGCAAATCTTTTTGGCAGGCACATGATGAAGATATCTAGTCTGTGTGAGAAGGTATCTATCAGAAATACATTTTTTGGGAAGGAAAATGTTAACATTCTATGGGATGTAGAACTTGGTTTATCCACTAATACTTATTTCATCACCATATGTATTAAGTTCCTTTAAAGTAATGGAGTTGGATGTGGTTAAACATTTTCTCTAAGTTAAAATATTAAAATATTTTATAAATATTAAATTTGACTGCAGGGTAAAAAATGATTCCTCTGTAAGATGAATATAACTGCATATTTCCATTGGAAATGGGCTGTTTCATGCCTTGCTATGAAAAAAAAAAAGGTTCTTACTGGGAATCTGCCACATAGGCTGGTGAGCCCATCTTAAGGGGTGAGACAGATACGTGTACAAATTTTATGTGTGTATAAGTTAGGGGTTTTCTACCCTGTATATACAAGCTGATGTACCCAACATAGGCAAACTTTCTAAAAAAATTTTCTAATTGTCTGTATTCAGGTAATCCATCCAATGTCAGTAGCAAACATTCAGTCTTAAGCAGACATTATAACTGCAGGGATCATGAATAGTTAGTTAACATGTACTTCTGCTTACATTGTGGGTCAATGTCTGTATTTTTTAGTTGTCTAAATGACTATACATTTGTCTTGGAAGCAATTATATGTTCTACTAACAACATTTCAAAGCAAGTACAAACTAGTAATAGCTTGCTGTGATGAGTAATCTTCCATTTATCTAATGACTTCACATGAATGAAACATCTAGATGTTTTCTCACAGGTTTAGCCATGATTTATTAAGAATTTAGAGCACATTAAACCATGTTATTTACCTCAAAATAACAACTGGGAAACAATTTTGTGAGACTACTATATGTAACCTAGGCTGAATTACCAATCATTTGTATTTCACAGACTGACCAGCAGGTGTATGATTTGCAAGACAGTGAACTGAGGAGCAGTAATGATGTGGTTTTTACCTTGTAAAAACTGTAATATTACAAATTCTGATTATCTTCTATTTCGTGCAATGTATTTAATCTCAGCCAAAATCCCATTATTTTATGTTTTTCTAATGTCATACTTTAGATAATTTGGTTTACTTGAGATAGCTAAATTATATTTTTTAATTGTATTTCCTTGTATGAACTATTTTAAGTTTATAAGTTTTTTGTAAGTAAAAATATTACTACCTAAATATGTTTGCATAACACAGCAGAAGTAAAATTGTAATTTTGCCCTGTTTATAATCAATTTTATAAGCTATATATTTACTGCATTTGAAATGCCACTGATACTGAAAAGCTGCTATTTTCAATTCTTGTTTACTGATTGGTTTTGTTTACAGAAACTAAAAGATTATTATTGTGCTCGTGCATTTCTATTGGACATATTAAAGGAGGCAGTCCTTTTACAAAACAAGACAACAAGAGCTCTGATCTTCACAATAGTAGTAGCCTATAGTTGAACTGAGATTTTTAACAAACTAAAATAAAAGTAATTTTATTGTTTTATATAATAACTCACTGCCATTTCATTTATGTTTCTGTTTAACTTTGTTCCTTTTTGTTTATTAATTGTTTAAATTATTGTTATAATTATTACATTGTTGCTAAGCATTACATAATCCCCAAATTTGTTATTATCATCATTATAGTTCAGGTTATTTTGATTTTTCAGTTTCCTTCTAGTTGCCCCCCAATGGCACAGTCTGGGGACTTACAATGCTAGAAACCAGGTTTCACTACCTGTGGTGGGCAGAGCATACATAGCCCATTGTGTAGCTTTGTGCTTAACTTCAAACAAACAATCCTACTAGTCATGCAACAAGAAGGAAAAAATAAAGACTGGTTCAATTTTAGCAAAGCATGAATCCTCAAAGCAACATTGCTCACTGCTGGTGTCGATTCTCGCATTTAATTGTCATACTTTTAAATTATTTGCATGCATTCAGTGTTGGTGAACCTTATCTGGTGTTTTAAAAGACGTTTCAATATTCTTTGGGCTATTCTGTGTGTGTGGGGAGGAGGAAATTGAAGCTTAAATTATATGAAAATGATAAAGATAAAAGTTTTTTCTGATTGTGAGTTTTGATTTACTTCATTAAACAAACTAAGTCAGTGTTTGGGTGATCTCCAAATTTCTGTGGAAAGATAGTGATTCATAAGTTTAAACTTCTATCTTTTATAAATCTTAGGATGGAGTGCTGAAATCATACGAACCAACGATCCGTGCTGTTCAAGATGTTATCATATACCAGAAAATATTAGTTACTCCAGCATTCGTGCTTCTGCCTTGGGACCCCATTCGCAAACCAACATATTCTATTTATCCTATGGTATGTGTTCCAGAGAGAAAAAGACTTTTAAAAAAAAGATAAAGTATAATTTATAAACACAAAGTGTATTGACAAAATTATTAACTAATTTTAAGCCAAAAATTTGCTGAAAAACTATAACCCTATAACTTATAATGAGTGTGTGTGTATATATGTAGAAACATGCATATTAAACAGGTATTCACTGCAGAGTTTCCTTATTAATGAATTTATTTGCAGAGTAGCAAGATTGAAGATTTTAATTTTTAATCTCAAGACTTCACGTAATTCTTTAAATACTTTTATTCTTACATTCAAATCATTTTTTTTCTTAACTTATTACATGTGCCCGTGAAACTACAGATAGCAATGGTACGATTACTAAGCATGAATGTCCATAGAGCTGAAAATGTTTGATGTGGTAATGAGTTGGAGAAATTGAATTTAATTCCTTGTTAAAAGTTTAAGTAATAAAACTCGTGTAGCATGTTTTATTACTTATCACCAATCGATACACTTATTTTAATTTATTACTTAAAACTTCAAAAAAACTTGTATGTTATAAAAATTCTTTCATATAGTTGTGTGTTCAAAAAATGTGATGGGTTTTACAAGTTTGCATGTTTTTTGTATGAAAATATTGACTTTAATTTGAATAATTGGAGAATAAAATCACTTAAATATGTTAAAAACTTTTGAATTTTGTGTTTCAGTATGTAAATAATCACTTTTTTTATTATTTGCACTTGAGTACCTCCGCATTTTTATTTTGTAAGTATTTATAATGCAAGTGACGTACACGTTTATTAAACATAATCATGTATGGTATGCCGTACATACTGTATACATGTGTAATATACTTTGTTACATACAAGTGTAGAAACTGCAGGAGTGTCACTAAAAACCTTGTTGTCAAGGGAAAGTCCCTTGCTTTTGTTGTGTAAAAAACAACTCGCACAGTTACTCTAACTCCAATCAAGGCATTCGTATTAATGCAAATGTATACCAAGCAGAAACATTATGTAATAAATTTATAAAAAGTATTTTGTAATTTAATACATAAAAAAGATTTGCCAGTGTTTTGCCATACACTATCTAAGAAAGTAAAATTGGTTGTACTATAAACTGAACAATAATTTTTTTTGTTGAATAGGCTGTGGTTTTAAATATTTTTATTGTGTTGCTACATTCTTTAATTTTAATTTTACATTTCTTGTTGTCTTAAATGTTTTTTGAGTTTTTGTAATAGTATGTGTGTGGTAGTTGTATTTTTATTTCATGAAAGAAACATGCAGATGGTAGTTAACCCTCTCTCTATGAGTCTTCCTGTAGTCAGGGATCTAAGGTCATTACAAATATTTTATGTGGTCCTGTGTGCTAACTTCTTAATCACTTCTCATGGTATTGCCTAGTGTTTTAACTTTAACATAGTAAGTGGAACACTGCGATTGTAACGAGTCTTTGTTACTTGCAAAAGGATTTAGGGGTAGTAGGCTGGGGCAATGAAAATCTGCCCATTGGCAATTGCCCAAAATTTTGATAGAGCTGGACTTATAAATGTGTAGTTAACTTTAGGTCTATATTCTGATACATTTATAGCTATTCTCATTCAGTGCTGCCCTCTATATGCAAAATTTGCTTTGCATGCCACGAGCCCTGAACTTCCATGTACCCCATGATCAATATGGTTCAGCTGCATCTCGCATCTAAATCATAATATGACAACCCTCCCCCAATACGTGTGCAACACACCCTCCTGACATATGTGACTCCCTATGTTCGATTCTACTGAACTATTACTTCTTGGGCAGTGATCTAGTACAGACATTTTTTGATTGTGTTCTCTTCACATGTTTTTCTGTACTATTTCTGCAAAATAGGGATTTCATTTAAATTTTGTTAAATTCAGTTTGTTTTCCGTAGTTTTGTTGCAATAAGTTACTTTTGTTTGTTTGTTCACCATTTATGATGAATTCTGAAATTTGTGTTACCACTTTGGATTTTCTTCCAACACTATTACACAAGCTTCAGGTCAGGGACCTCAACTGAGAAATTTTTGGCTTTCGTTTGTTGGGAGATTGATCGTTATATGGGTTGATCTTCTCTTCCCGATTTTGCTTGAATTCCTCATGAATCTGCTGAACCTGTTCGTGATAAAGAGGATTTTGCAGCCTTTTTCCTCTAACTAACTATGCCGTGCCTTCCTTAGCCTCTCCTGCAGAATCTGCTAGGCTTACCTCAGCCTTTTTAATATATGACTTCTCATGTGTGTTCCATTTTATCTACTTTCCATGTTTCTTATGATTCTCTTCCTTCCTTATGACATGAACCCTCCCCCTTCCTCACAGTATTTTGTTTTCCCTCCTCCTAACATCAGGGTTCATGCTGAGCATTTCGTTTCTCAACTGAGAGCAGGTGCTGGCATGCCTTGCCCTCCAAGGGCCTTGAATCATTTTGTCTTGGGGTTACCATCAGGCTGATAAAGCTTTTCTTGATTCTCAACAGTTGGAGTCACTTTTGCCTGTATGAGGGCTGACCCTGAAAATCCTAAAAAATAAAGAGAGAAAATCAGTGTCAAATGCATCAAATGACACAGATCAAGATTGAGAATTAATTTAATTATTTCCTTTTGAAATTAAGAAATCAAATTGTGTTTTGATGCCAAGTTCATTGATAATAAAGTTTGAATGTAACTAAAATGGTTGTTGACATGCACACTTGGGTTCTACTATTTGCTAAGGGTTAACAAGAATAAGTCTTAAGAGATGGGTGAGTTTCTGTTACATTAAAGATAACTTTAATAACTGTAAAGTGAGCTCTTTATCATTCCTGTAATTTTTATGGTTCTGTTTATATATCTCGTATTGGTGGAAGTAAATTTTTGAAACTTGTCTTTTTATTTATACCAATAGATTATGTTTACATCTGAGAAATATATTGCTTATATCAAAGTTTTTCAAAGAATGTTTTAAGAAAGACTTGTATGGAATTCTTATTTGTTTAATGGTTTTGTAGGCAACTGGAGGAACAGGATTTTACAAATGGATTTCATCAAATACTACCATAGCTTCTGTTACTTCTAAAGCAGATGATAAAAATAAAGCAATAGTTACTACGTATGGATGGAGGGAAGTAAACATCACTGCAGTTGACATACATAATTCTTTTTTTTCTAATTATATGATGGTGAGTACTTTTTTTTAATGATTCATAATTGTTTACTAATAATTGCACTTAAGATTTATTTTTACAAATCTGTTAAAGGTTTTTAATATATTTTTAACCTTGCTTGGGAGTTTTAGCAGAGTTGGAGGTTGAAATATATCCTTTAACTAGAGCTAGGTGATTTGTGGAATTTGAAATTACTAATCAATTAATTTTTGGACTCGTTAATCAGTTACCCTCAACTAATTGCTTATTCTCACATGAGACTTACGTAATTGAAGTGGCCAGGTGGTTAGTTAGCTCGACTCGCAATCTGCGAGTCGCGGGTTTGAATCCCCATCCAACCAGACATGCTTGCCCTTTCAGCCATGGGGGCATTATAATGTGACGGTCAATCCCACTATTTGTTGGTAAAAGAGTAGCCCAAGAGTTGGGGTGGGTGGTGATAACTAGCTGCTTTCCTTCTCGTCTTTCACTGCTAAATTAGGGACGGCTAGTGCAGATAGCCCTCGTGTAGCTTTGCGCAAAATTCAAACAAGCTATCATCAGGTCTACAGTGTTAGCTTAGCCTTAGCTAAGGTCGGTTTTTGTGGGTTTTTATTTTTAATATAGTAGCACAATGTGCGTGAATAGAAATTAAGATAATGTAGTATTCAATTTGAAACTATTACATCTTTAAAATCTGAGAGTTTAATTCTTGCCTCTGACAAATATGGAAGTTCGGACATTGTCAACAAATAATATACTTAAATATGCAGTAAATTTGGCGCTATTGGTACATTACCCTATTAATTCAGAGGAAGAATTTGAACTCTGGTTAAATTAAGTACATTAATTAAATAACAAATGCACCGAAAAGAAAAATATTTTCAGGAATAAAATGCAGTTTTATGAACAAAATATCATAGGAAAATATTTCTTAGATACTATTTGAAAAGCCCAAATTTTAGGATAAGCATTTATTGGTTATATTTCTTATGTAATGTGACAATCCATCCCACTATTTGTTGGTAAAAGAGTAGCACAAGAGTTGGCAGTGGGTGGTGATGACTAGCTGCCTTCCCTCTAGTCCTACACTGCTAAATTAGGGACGGCTAGCACAGATAGCTCTCGTGTAGCTTAGTGCAAAATTTAAAAAACAAGCAAACAAACAAACGTAATTGAAATAATGAAGAGTAGTAATAATTATTTTCATGATTTGTGATACTGTTCAGTTGAAGTAAAACAACCTTGAATTAATAAACAAAATAATTAAAAATTATAATCATAATATTTCAATTAATTATAAGTCAGAAAAATTAGAATCACAAATATTGATAAATTTTTTCATGACATTAATCAATGCTCATAGGTAAACAAGTTAATCACCCAGTTCTATCTCTGTTTCATTAAATCTTTAGCTAGTACCATTTTACATTTCGGTGATGTATGTTTCAAACCATAACAATCATTTTTCAGGAAAATTGATGATGTATACAAGTTAAGCACCCCCGTGTTTTTTTCAAGTGATTCAGATTCGACGTTCTTGTGACTGATT